TTCATTTCCTTCATTTGAGTGCAATGCTCAGACGTGCGCGGCTCAGCTTCGTGCAAAGCTCTTGTCGCAATGTGCGTGAGTGTATGTCTGTATGTGTGTGTGTGTGTGTGTGTGTGTGTGTGTGTGTGTGTGTGGGCGCTGGCGCAGTAGCAGCGTGGCAAATATCTACTGTCGTTTACCGCTACAATGACAAGCATTTATGGCAATTAACACTTTAGCTGTTTATATGCGGCTTCCTCTGCTGCTGTCTCCGTCGCTGCTTCTGTTTCAGCGACAGCGCAAGCGCTTGTTGTTGTTGTTGTTGCTGTTGCCTCTCCTGCTGCTGCTGCTGCTGCTTAAGTGTGTCAGCCATTAGCGCACCACCCACAAAACAACACCGACGCCGACTAGCAGGAAGCTGCCAGTACTCATTTACCTAAAATCTAATTGCATTTCATGCAAATCACGTCGTCGGAGCCACTTAGCGCCTCTTTTTTTTTTTCTTGTCTTGTACAAGCTGCGCTCGCCATTTCTGACCATTTCGTCTGGCCAGGTTCGGCACATTTCGCTTTGCGTTTAGTGCAAATTCAATATCGTGCATAATTAATTTGCAATTAGCACGTTTCTGTTTTTGTTTTCATTTCACCAGCGCCACGCACCACGTGTAGCATGGAAATTTTCTAATTACAGCCTGAATGCAAACTAGTTTCGGGCATCTAGTCGCTTGGCCCGACCGACACATAAGCCGGCGGCAATCCGGCCAGCGTTTGGGTTTTCGCACGTACGAAGCCCGGCCAAATACGTTGGCATGTGAAATGAGCTGCAAATTGATGGAGGAATTAGCGCAGCATATTTAATTTGCCTGTAAATGCCTCAGGCAACAGCAGCAGCATCTGTTATCCTCGAGCTAGAGAGGTCGATAGATATGTTATCAACATAAATACATGTTTATGTATATATGTTTATGCAGCAGGATAGAGATATATCTGACTACAAAGAAGATAATAAGCTTCTTATTTATATGAAGACTGCAAAAAATATACCATATTAAAGAAATCTCTAATATATTATATACATTCTACATATTTTCTTATAAATAATATATAGAATAATAAATCACTTAAATCGAATAATTTATTTATTTATATATGATTCTTTTTATTTATTAAAAAATAAGTTTTCAACTTTCTTTAGCTCAAACTTTTTCTACTTTTACATGATATTAGTTCTTAAAAAAAAAATTTGATAAATGTTGAACTGGTTCACTTGAAATATTTTTAATTTTTTTTCCCTAAAAATATGTATTATTTAAAATTTCAGTAAGCCAACAGCTGGCAAAGGATGTTGTCAAATATTTAGCAATATATCGTATATTTATTTACAATAACAGAGTTATAAATCCTTTAGCCGCAAAGCCATAGGCAATTAATTGCAAAACCGTAATCAAAATTGCAATAAGCTTAGTCAACACACAGCTGCTGCCGCTGCTCGATAAGCCACTCCCACTGCCCCCCAGGCTCAGCCGCCCACTGCCCACTGCTGGCAGCTGGAATGGCTCAACTGACTGACTAATTTATGTATTAACTTTGAACGCTCATTAGTTTAATTAGTCAAACAAATTAACGTGGGGCGCTCGGCAAGTGGAGTGCAAACAACAAAATGGCCGAATAAACAGAGAGGCCAAACATGAGAGTGAGAGGCTGGCGGCGAGCGTGGCATCTCGCTCGCACCTGGACAGTGCACATCATTAAATATACAAATACTCAAATATGCAACAAATTCGTGCAATTTAGGCCCACGAGAATTGGCGAGAATCGCGCATGGAACAAAAGCCGCGAATAAATGGAAAATAATTCAATTAGCGCATAATTACGCGTCTGACCGCAATTGTAATTTTTCTTCTTTTTTTTTTTTTTAATTGCTCGCTTGTCGCGAGGTCAGCAGCTTTGCGCCGATTATCGATTTTCCTTATGCACATTCGCCTTTTAATTAGCTGTAAATCTTTCGAAAGCTTGTTGAAAGCCAATGCAAAGGGCGTCAGGGCAATGGAGCTGTGGGGCTGGCTGGGGAGACGCAACTGCTGCCTGCCTTTGCATGCACTATTTATTTTAACAAGAGCTGCTCATTTAATACTTATTTTCACTAATTAAATGTGCAAGTGAGATGGCAATACCATGGCCGAAGTGCAACAAAGACAGCAGCAGGGCAAGAGATAAAGACAAAGACAATAAGAGAGCGAAAGAGAGAGAGAGAGAGCGAGAAAGTGATAGTGTGCAGCAGCTGTGGAAAGCGTCGGCAATTTTTCGCGCAAAAGTTTCATGTCTATGTAAACAGCGGCTTGTGTGTGTCTGGCGGGCCGCCCAAATCGGTCTCTCTGTGCGTTTGTCTGTGTCTGTGTGTGTGTGTGTGAACGTACATAACATTTTACATACACACACCCACACACGTGTGTGTATATCGTCTGTTTGGGCGCACTTAAATAATGAATAATGACGAGACAGGCAATTAAAATAATTTGCGGTTTTACCGTGCGTATGCGCATCATTTAATTTTGCATGTAAAAGGGTAAAGCGCTTAATACACTGCCACAAAATGACGTGTGCATTCTGAAACGAAAGCCATTGCCATTGCTGTAGCCTACTTTCCGGCTACGCTTGGTCGGCGAAGCATCAAAAGCTGCTTTGCTCGTTGCCTTCTCAAGTAAACTAAGCAAAACGCACAGCCAATTTGCACAGTGTGCGACACAGACACAAACACACACACATACACACAAGCACGCACACACATGTATATGTTACAGTCAGCCTCATCAATGGACCAATTACAGCGCTGAGCTGCCGCACTGGTGTTGGTAACAAGCATCTTAAAAGTAATTAAAACGAAAATGGCATAACAAGCTGCTCATTAAGAATGCCATCTCCCCTCATTTTGTGGTTAATTATAGAGGAGCGAAGCCGAGTAGCGCTAACGAGCGCCCAGCTCCGCCGGCGTTGGCCCCGCAAAAGATTTAAAATAAAAGAAGAAGGAATATGAAGTAGGTAAAGAAGAAGAAGCTGAAGCAACTACAAAGTCAACGGAACGAGCAGAAGTAAGAAAATGCCGTCAGCCGACGGGCGCCGGAGGGGCAGCACACACTGGGACGATCGGACTATGAGCAACGGTGTGCAGGGCATGCCGTCGAAGTTCATTAAGCAGCATCCTCGCTGTCCTGCGTCCACTTAACGATGTCACTTATACGCCCCATTGTGCGCTCAAACCCACGACCATGAGCACGGCCACTAACCAACCAGGCTATCAGCAGGCTATCCACTTAGCTGCTGCCTTCTCCTTCTATACATACATCGCTCTCTTTTCTTCTGTATCTCACTCACTCTTGCGCTCTCTGTCTCCCTCTATGTACTGCTCTGTCTCTGCTACTTCTTCTTCTTCTTTTTCCACACCCACTTGATGTCCATGCGGGCCGCTGCTACGATGCGTATAAACCGCAAATTGGATGCGATATTAAATTGTCTGTGCAAAGCGCATATAAATTTTTGTTCAATTTAAACCATTCTGTAAACTGAGAAGCGAAACTCACGCACACACACTCATACACATACAAGGAGAGAGTAAAACAGAGAGAGACAGACAGAATGAGAGAGAGAATGAGTAGGGTAAAGGCCAGCTTGAGCGAGAGTCAAGCAAACATGGGCTGATTGCTTTGAGTTTTACAAGGAAAAAATCATCAACTCGACGTCAAGAGTCGACGAGTCAAGCAAACGACTTATAGCTGCTTGTCAAAACTAAGAAGAAACGACAATTATTACTTACAATGATTAACAACTAATTAACAAACTGATTAGCTACTAGAATGCAGCATGAATTCAATTAGGCTTTGTAAAAATTGGCAAGCGGAATGTTTCTGCCTGCGGCTGCTGCTGGCATTGGCAGGGTTCTCGGTTGCCAGCCACAAGAGCACAAAGCATTCATGCATATATGACTAAGAACAAACCAGGCATAAGCAAAGAACAACAACACAGGGACGAACAAAAAAAATATATTT